GACACTGTTCCTCCCACTGACATCAATGATAGGGCACTATTCCTCCCACTGACACCAATAATGGGGCACTATTCCTCCCACTGACACCAATGATGAGGCACTATTCCTCCAACTGACACCAATGATGGGACACTATTCCTCCAACTGACACCAATGATGAGGCACTATTCCTCCCTCTGACACAAATGATGGGACACTATTCCTCCCACTGACATCAATGATAGGGCGCTATTCCTCCACTGACACCAATGATAGGGCGCTATTCCTCCACTGACACCAATGATGGGGCGCTATTCCTCCACTGACACCAATGATGCGACACTGTTCCTCCCACTGACATCAATGATAGGGCACTATTCCTCCACTGACACCAATGATGGGACACTGTTCCTCCCACTGACATCAATGATAGGGCACTATTCCTCCCACTGACACCAATAATGGGGCACTATTCCTCCCACTGACACCAATGATGAGGCACTATTCCTCCAACTGACACCAATGATGGGACACTATTCCTCCCACTGACACCAATGATGGGGCACTATTCCTCCAACTGACACCAATGATGAGGCACTATTCCTCCCTCTGACACAAATGATGGGACACTATTCCTCCCACTGACACCAATGATGGGGTACTATTCCTCCCACTGACACCAATGATGGGGCACTATTCCTCCCACTGATACCAATGATGGGGCACTATTCCTCCCACTGATACCAATGATGGGGCACTATTCCTCCCACTGACACCAATGATGGGGCGCTATTCCTCCCACTGACACTAATGATGAGACACTATTTCTCCCACTGACACCAATGACGGGGCACTATTCCTCCCACTGACACCAATGATGGGGCACTATTCCTCCCACTGACACCAATGATGAGGCACTATTCCTCCCACTGACACCAGTGATGGGGCACTATTCCTCCCACTGACACCACTGATGGGGCACTATTCCTCCCACTGACACCAATGATGGCTCAGCTCTTTCCACCTATCAACATACTTCTTGTGGGCACATTAAAGGATTGGCACCTTGTATGGCTTCTTTGTCTCACACTCCAGATCTGCTGTACAAGGGCTTCAAAAGACTGATCCCAGATCACTTTCAGGTACTTACACTGTCTGTATTTAAAGCAGAACGTTTTTTGGAATCACCAGTCAAATAAGCTGTCCTAATGATCACTGCTGATTATTGTACTAATCATAGCTTCATCTATGCTGGATACTACACATAGTGCTGCGACTGTGAACATACCTCCCAACCATCCCGGAATGGCAGCACCGTCCTGATATTCCACTGAAATCCCAGTGTCCTCCAGATCCAGGCTAAATCCCAGATCGCAGTGTCGGAACAAGGGTTGAGGAGGGGTGCATAAATGGCAGAACGGCATGTTTTCTGTGAACAGAATTTGTGTCTTTTCAGTCAGCCTAGAGTTCAGCTTTAACTCTTACTCACTCTATCCAAAACCCAAAAAATCATGGCTGGAGAATTAAACTGGACTTACAAATCAAAAGCCCAACTTACCCTTTGGTATGTGGGGAGGTGCGGGCAGTAAACACACAGAGTCCGGTTGCAGCAAAACTTGGAACTTGTATTAAACAGAATGCCAATGATACAAACACACTGCTAGGGAAACAACTCACAGTTCAATGTAGAGGAGGAGAGGTGCCAACAGCGTCTGTTGCAGTAAGTGAAGCATGGCCTGGCTGGTCTGGTCCCATGGGGGAGGCTCATATCCAGCATAACAACTCCCTAATCTTTCTCTCCTCATCAGGAACCTCTCCCTACTGCTAGTTGCTTTCCCTAACCAGTGGGGTCTCTCTCCCTACACCAGAGACACACAAGAAGTGCACCAAAACCTAGGAGCAGAAACTTAAAGAGATTCTGCTGACCCAAGATGGCTGCCGAGGGTCACATGGGCGCAGTGTAGCCAACTGGAATGTTTCATTTGGACTTCCTCTCCAGGCTATGGTGCCATTCATTTAATCACCACCTACCAGTGGAGAAAACAAACTGCACCCGACTACAGGTACCTGCACATACACTATATTGCCCGCAGTATTGGGCGGCCGGCCTTTCCACACACATGAACTTTACTGGCCCCCCAGTCTTAGTCCGTAGGGTTCAATATTGAGTTGGCCCCGCCCTTTGCAACTATAACAGCTTCAACTCTTCTGGGAAGGCCGTCCACAAGGTTTAGGAGGGTGTCTATGGGAAGGTTTGACCAGTCTTAAAAATTCCCTTCACTGGAACTAAGCGGCCAAGCCCAACCCCTGAAGAGCAACCCCACACCATAATCCCCCTCCACCAAACTTTACACTTGGCACAATGCAGTCAGGCAAGTACTGTTCTCCTGACCACCGCCAAACCCAAACACATCCATCAGATTGCCAGACAGAGAAGCGTGATTGGTCACTCCAGAGAACACGTCTCCTCTGCTCTAGAGTCCAGTGGCGGCATGCTTTACACCACGGCATCCGACGCTTTGCATTGCACTTGGTGATGGAAGGCTTGGATGCAGCTGCTCGGCCATGGAAACCCATTCCATGAAGCTCTCTATGCACTGTTGTTGTGCTCATCTGAAGGCCACACCAAGTTTGGAGGTCTTTTGACTATTGACTGTGCAGACAGTTGGCGACTTCTGTGCACTGTGCGCTTCAGCATGCGCTGACCCCGCCCTGTCATGTGACGTGGCCTAACACTTGGTGGCTGAGTGGCTGTTGTTCCCAGTTGCTTCCACTTTGTTATAATCCCACTAACAGTTGAGCGTGGAATATTTAGTAGCCAGGAAATGTCACGGATGGACTTATTGCCCAGGTGACCACCTATCACAGGACCACGCTTGGAGTCACTGAGCTCCTGAGAGCGACCCATTCTTTCACCAATGTTTGTAGAAGCCGTCTGCATGCCTAGGGGCTGATTGTATACACCTGTGTCCATGGAGGGGATTGGAGCACCTGAATCACATGATATGGAGGGCGGGCCCAATACTTTTGGCAATATAGTGTATCTTTACCCAATGTCATGAATAACATGTACCAAGCAAGACCCAGGATGACGTTTGAATGTAGAAGATGCAAATCTAATGGACTTGAACCAAAGAGTGATTGCAGGTGTTGATCTGGTGGTTGCACCATCTTGGAAACTGCTGACCTCCTGGAATTCCCACTGTACTACCAGGGGTACAAGATCTCCAAGATTGAACGAAAGAATGGAGAAATAAAAAATGTTTCCTAGTTTTACATGCAGACTTCTAAACAGAAGTTCTAATCTAAATATTGGGCAAAGGTCAAAGAAAAGCTTAGCATTCTATGAAGTTAGTCAAGCTTTTGTTGGAGCTTCTCAACCTATACACAAGAAATGACATCCAATCTGGGAGCTGGAAGGCGCCAACCCGCGTCCCTTTAGATTCTGCACAATTATATGTCCCATTAGTAAGTTCATTGTGGCTTGTCAAAGCCTTCCATAAAGTCACTTCTTCCATGTAGAGCCAAACCACCAATTCTAGCACACTCCTTATAAAATTGATATTAATGACCATGCCGATAGGTTTCTGTAGGGATGGATAGACCATGTTATTAGTAATTATTCCTGGATCATGACTGCTTTTGTGTCAAGGATCATATTTTCCGTTAAAATAAATGTGATTTTTCCAAGGACCACAGGAAGCCACCAGAGAGGGCAATGACTTTCGAACAGTCCTTTGCTGGATGGGGGTTGGAATATGTCACCCATCAGAGCTTCTGAGTCACTGGCCAGTCGTCTTGCTCCCGTGTAACTTTACCCTTGAAATGAAAACCTCTGGGATGCAATTTGGAATTCCTTCCAAGATGTTATGTCCAAGCAGCTAACTACATGAATAAGGCAACTTTTTGATCAGTAGGACATTTTAATAATAGATGTTAAGGAGAACACAAAGTGAATAACAGATCAGATTTTCAGAACATTTCCAAAAGGGTAGGAATTTGTTACGTGCAAGGTGGAGTGAATGATCACCAGGCATAGAATGGAGTATTCAGTTTCTTTAGGACAAATTAGAGCCCATGGGCCAAATCTGGCCCTCAAGAGGATTGCTTCCATTTCCTGGCTGAGGTCCATTTTCCTATTGACACCCTAGCAACCGATGAAGTGCTTGCACAGCAGGAGGATAACCTTCTTCAGTCCATACCTGCTTCATCTCCCTCTCTGCTGCTACAGTGACTTCAGCCACACAGGTAAGGGCAGACCACTGATCTATGGGGGGCTCTGATGGAAACTCTGATGTAAACAGGGACTCAGATGGGGACCCCAGTGCAAAGGGGGTTCTGATTAAAACAGGTTCCAATGGGGACTCTGATGTAGGAAGGGCTCTGATGGAGACCCTGTGGAAAGGGGGGGGTGTCAAGACCCAGATCTGATCCTGCAACCTCCACTGTTTGTAGCAGTATCTCTTCTTGCTGAGCCTCCTGAGATGCTGGATAGCTCCCTGGACAATTACTTGGACAAACTACATTGGATTCACCTTCTGTGTTGCCTGTGGATTCTGACAAGTCAACAAGTGGCCATACATTCCACACCGATGGTATAAAAGTGGTATAGCATTGCATATATGAGCAGAACACCATAGTTTGTCCCATTTCACACTGTCACTGCCTACCAATGGCCCAGTGCTCACAAATGATCATCACCTTGCACTGAGAAGGTTGACAAGTTGTCAATTTATCTCCATTGCCTGTATCCACAAGGGTGTATGCAGCGCTACACCCACAGGAGCCACTTGGTAGATTGGGTTCTCTGTTCTTCTGCCTCAACTCGGAGAACACCCCTCCGCTGCAGCAGGTTAAGTGAAGAGGATATTACACTACTGTTACTAGCACAAGGATAAATATCCTGCACACACTACAGTTCAGTATCAGGAAGCAAACACCAGACTGCTTAGGAATTATGAAAGGAGTTATATTCTTAGATTGTAAGCTCCCAGGCCCTCCTAACCAGTGGCGGGCTGACCATTTGGAAACTTGGGCACTGCCCGAGGGCCCTGGGTCAGTAGGGGACCCCATGAGATGCCCCTGGTACCTTTTTCATAGGCTTTTTTGAGTTTGGGCAAGAACACAGGGGCCCCATGATCCCCTATTGCCTGGGGGCCCCATGAGTTGTCAGTCCGCCCCTGCTCCTAACCCTCTTGTATTGAACTGTGTTATTGCTGTATTGTCTCCTGTTATACTGTAAAGCGCTGAGCACACTGTTGGTACCATATAAATCCTGTATAATAATAATAATAATATTGTAACAGATCAAAGTAGATGGCAATATGTACATATAGGAACAAGAAGAGTGTCAATCAAAAACATTTCTCTAGACAAAGGAATTACTATATTGCAGCAGTAGAATATGGATCTATATGTTTAGATTAATCTATATCTGGTAATCTGCAAATCAGCATCAAATGGCAAAGGCACAGATAACAGGACAATGGTATTCAGTGCTGCTATACAGCTTAGAGGGCACTCTATATGATTGACTATGGTAAGACCCTGACCTTCCTGCAGAGGTACCCCTTTCTAAAAGCAGCAAGTGAAGTTCTTGTAGAGCAGCTATCTGAGGAGATAATCCTTTGCCCTAGCTTTTCAGCTGGGTAGCATTGGGGCCCCGTCTTTATGGTGGTGCACGTAAGTACAGTCCTAGTAAAGTCTGCATGCAGTGGTAAAGGCTGCTAGTCAGATGTCAAGTCCCTATGTGCTTAGTCTCCACTTACAACAGTATAACAATCACAGCATCTGACCAGTCCCAGTGGTACAGGAAGTCTTTATCCAGGTATTCAGCAGTCTGCAAATTGTCAGCCTGTGTGCTTAGGCACTCCTGTCACAACACCCCGATCCTCAGCACTCTGATTCTCAGCCCTTAGCTCTCGGGTTGTAACGGCAGGCGTGCAAACTGTAGCAGAAGGGCAAAGAGAAAATCACTTGGGATTCAGTTCAGGAAATACAGCTCTTTCTCTTCCTCCTAACAGTCTCTCTTGTTGGGGATTGTAGTCCAATAGTCCTTAGATTTCCACAGTATGATTCCTCTTCAGAACTCCAACTCCCACAGTCCAACGCAGCCAGCATTAAAGTCTCTTGAGCTTCCCCCTGCTGGGTGGAGGTGCAGTGTTGTTAACCCATTCAGGCTGATGATCCAAGGAGGACAGACAGCAACTGCAGCCCAGTATTCCATTTTGCTCTCCCTCTCTTCCTAGCCAGGAACCTGGCTACATGTATTAGTGTACATTTTGCTGCTCCTGAGAGGCTGTAATCATAGCCTAGCCATGTGTAGGCTTCCACAGCATGGTGTGACTTCAGGATGTGACATATGTAGTTACATTATATCACCAAACGTTTGTGAACACCCACCCAGCCTTCACACCTATGTGAGCTTGTTGGACATTTCATTCCAAAACCATGGCTGTTAATATGGTGTTGCCCACCCCTCTTCCCCATGGCCATTAATATGGAGTTTGCCTTCTTTTGTGGCTTTAACAGCCTCTGATCATCTGGGAGAGCTTTCTACAAGATCTTGGAATTTGTCTGGGGGAATTTTTGCATATTTGTGAGGTCAGGTACTGATGTTGGATGAGAAGATCTGGCCCACAGTTGGTGTTCCAATTCATCCCAAAGGTTTTCAGTAGGGTTGAGGTCAGGGTTATGTGCAGGACACTCAAGTTAGTCCATTTATCACACCTAAATAAGCTTGTTGGATTTCCCATTCTAAAACCATGACTATTAATATGGAGTTTTCCCCTTCAACTAAGGCCTTTATAATGCAGTTGTCTCTCTCTCCTATGGCCATTAATGTGGAGTTGCCCCCATTAGGGCTATGACATCCTCCACTTTTCTGGAAAGGCTTCCACAAGATTTTGGGATGACTGTGTGAGTTTTTTGCCCCTTTGTGAGGTCAGCTACTGAAGTTGGATAAGAAGACCTGACTCACCATCAGTGTTCCAATTCATCCCAAAGGTGTTCAGTAGGGTCCAAACTGGTCAAACCATGTCTTCATGGAAAGGCTACCCACAAACGTTTGGAGAATGTTAGTGAAAATGTGTGTCCAATCAGCCAAAGGAACATTTTCGAGGTCAGATACTGAAGTTGGATGAGAAGACCTGGCTCACCATCAGCATTTCAATTCTTCTCAAAGGTGTTCAGTAGGGTTGAGGCCAGGGTTCTGTGCAGGACACTCGAGTTCCTCCACACCAAACTGGTCAAACCATGTCTTTATGGAGCTGGCTTTGTACACAGGGCACAGTCATGCTGGAATAGAAAAGGGTCTTCACCAAACTGTTAGCACAGGGTTGGAAGAGCACAATTGTCTACATTGACTTCATATAGTGGAGTATTACCAGGAACCTTCACTGGAAACACTCGAATTTAACTTTTTGGAGGGGGTCCACATTTTGTCTTATATTTCATGTGATGGTCAAGTGTCCACAATAGGAAAGTTGATTTGGTGGATTTCTTTCTTCTAAAACTGAGCATCCTTCAAAGTCCAAATTCCACCAAACATTTTTTTCTTAGTTTTGGATACAGTGGGGAAGGTTTTAGCCCATGTCAGGTTTATATTGCTCCCTGAAGCACTGAAGGTGTCACTGGGACAAGGAATGAGAGAAACCTTCTCCAATGGGTTCACAGACAGCAGTAAAAACACACCAGAGGCTCCAAACTTTCCCTGCTCCATCAACCAAACACATTTTGGCTTTCCGCTTATCTTAAGTAGCACTAACATTGTATATTCAATCCTCCATACATCTTTCTAACAGAATGCTTTTGATGTAGAGGAATACAGTTTACTTTACCTGTCATTAAGCTCTAAACAGATGTATTTGACTCCTCAGCCACCAATTCCAGGTTCGGCCAAGATAACTACGAGAGCCGGCTGGTTTAATCCCATAATGTAAAATGAACCCCACGCACCAAGCGCTTACATTTTTCCTTTGAGTAAGTGCAGCTATAAAACAAGAAACGTGCTGGGTGTCCTGTGCATGTCGGAGAGCCTGGGGTGACTCTAATAAAGTTTGAAATACAAACAAGGGGACGATGATTCAACATGGCAGTTAACACTGGTGTGACGTGAGGCCCGGCATAGGCGATGGTACTCAGAATCTCTGGAAACTTGGATGCAATTGTCATGTTGGATTATGAAGGCACAGCAAAAGTTAATATTGGCATCTACGGTTCCTACAGCAGGGATCATCCCTTTAATGATGGTCCTGGGCTTCTCTGACTGAAACCAGGTAAGATGACTGACAGGGGCTGGACCCAACTGGTCCCCATTTAGCCAACACTCAGGACTTCTGTAAATCACTGCATCCTATTTAAAAGGATCTAAACGTTCTAACTTAAAAATTAAAGTAAATCTGCCAACCTCTACTCAAGCCATGGACCATCCTCCCCCCCCCCAAAATACCCCTGACCCACCTCTAACTAATGGATGCAAAAATATTAATAAAAAAACTAAGCTAAATGCCCCTTTAACTTACCAAGCCATATAGTCATGTGACACGTCAAATCCATCTTCTAGACCAAGGGGCTCCAAATTATGGCCTGAAGGCCACATCCAGCCCACTACAAGATTTTATCTGGCCAATGGTCAGCAGCATATCCTCAATGTGCACTAATTGAGTCTTATGACTGCCTATGATCTCTGCTTCTTATGTACAGGGGGACTCTGATAGGGACCCTGATAGATGGGAGGACTCTAATGGGCATCCTGATGTAAGGAAGGACTCCAATGGAGACTCTGATGTAAGGGGGACTTTGATAGGGACCAAAATGTAAGTGGGAACCTAATGGGGGTTTTTTTCGGCTCACAATTATTTTGTAAAAATACTAAAGTTTAGTACTTTTTACTCCAATACTGAAAAGTGATGGAGACACCTGTTCTAGACTACAAAGTTGAACAGTTCTTCTTTGGGTTCCAGTGCTGGGACAGCAATCTTTAGCACCCAAGGCAAAAAGATCAAAGTGTACCCCCACCCTGAGCTGCGAACTACCTCAGCAACATAAGTTGCAAGTTCCTCTCCCTTTCCTTAAGTGCCCAAGGCAGCCACCTCTTCTGCCTACCCCTCTGACCCTGTCTGGTGTCCACATCTCTGCTTGGGGGACATGAACACTTCCTATTGGCTGTCCAGTGGTGGAGTCCCCTCAGGGCTCTTAATGACATCACAACCAAGGTAGGTATGTATTGGTGATGTAGGTGTCCACATGTGATATGAGTCTCGGGGAGTCACACTTTAACCACTTTATACTTTTAAGGGCTTCCTCTGTATTTTTGGCTGTTGTGATGCAATTAGAATCCAGTCACCCTTCACGACACCAAACAGTTTACCTACATAAACTAGCAAGTGATTTCAGTTGGCTGTGACTGAGGGAGACACATCGAACGCACTGATAAAGTCAACATTTACCCTCCACAAAGTGACGTGTGTACACGGGGCGGACATTGGTGACGTGTGTACACGGGGCGGACATTGGTGAGCGGACATTGGTGACGTGTCTACACCGGGCGGACATTGATGACGTGTGTACACGGGGCGGACATTGATGACGTGTGTACACGGGGCGGACATTGGTGACGTGTGTACACGGGGCGGACATTGGTGACGTGTGTACACGGGGCGGACATTGGTGACGTGTCTACACGGGGCGGACATTGGTGACGTGTGTACACGGGGCGGACATTGGTGACGTGTCTACACGGGGCGGACATTGGTGACGTGTGTACACGGGGCGGACATTGGTGACGTGTGTACACGGGGCGGACATTGGTGACGTGTGTACACGGGGCGGACATTGGTGACGTGTGTACACGGGGCGGACATTGGTGACGTGTCTACACGGGGCGGACATTGGTGACGTGTCTACACGGGGCGGACATTGGTGACGTGTCTACACGGGGCGGACATTGGTGACGTGTCTACACGGGGCGGACATTAGTGACGTGTCTACACGGGGCGGACATTAGTGACGTGTCTACACGGGGCAGACATTGGTGACGTGTCTACACGGGGTGGACATTGGGCTAAACAAATAGGCTGTATGGCACCT